TGAAAAAACGCGTTGCAAATAAAAACGATGCGTTTCAACGCGTTGTGAATTGAGAAGAATGCGTCTCAACGCGTTGAAAATAGAACAGGATGCATTTAAACGCAAAAATAGCGTTTTTTTTCTAAAAGTTGGTGTTCAAACGCCAACTTTTATAAATTTTTTTTTCGTGGGCAGCTCATAGTTTTATTTATGCATGAGAAAAGTTATAAGTACATTGTTGAGAATGAGCGAAAGAAAAATTGAATACTAAGATCAGATCAATGGCAAAAATATTTTGAAGAATTTTGCATTTTTACAAGTTTTTTAGATAATTTTTATTCGTATAAAACTGGAATAGAAATCTATGGAACAATTGAGACAGGTTAACTGATCAGTATGTACACTGGAGATCTGGAGATCAATACTATATATTCACTCGTTTCTATTCTGTTTAGAAAAGTCTGCAAGGGTTGTGCCAAAATATGGAAAAAATTCTCAAATAAACCTAGTAAGGCTGTGTAAAGATGCTGTTAGGCAAGTAGTAACATATCTGAGGAAATCTAAATAAATGCATCAGAATGTAAACCGAAATTTTTTCGATTCGAAATCACTGAAATTCTAGCGAATTCCTGGTCCAAAAATAGTGTAAAACTAATCATGATCATGATAGGATCTTGAAGTTGCGTGGCTACATGCTTTTTTCAGGATTTAGTTATTTTCTTCGGAAAAAACGCATTCATGAAGAGTCCGAATTGGACCTGTTAAGAATATCGCACGAAAACATAAAGGGTTTTCCCTAAGGAATTGCATATAACAGAAAAACTCTGAGAATAATGTGAAACTTAGAAATATTGAAATGAACGTCCTATATGTGAACTAGGTGATCCTTATTTGTTCTTTCCATAATGTTCTGATGTTGTTTCCCCGAGTGAGTGGACTGCTTTCAAATGACACAATAATAAAAATATTGAATACTTGTAATATCTCGTTATGACAGGACAAGACCTATGACATTCTTAAAACTTAAGCCATTACAAGGATAATACTCGCTCTGAAGATTCCTTGTCCTGTTTGTTTTCTCACATATATTCTCAAATTAACAGGTGAGTCAGGATAAATCAACCATGGTTGTTTTCTTGATATGGTTGGTGGCTATGGAGGCGCGCTCGGACATTAACCGCAAACGAAAATTTTTCATCTAGCCTAATTAACTTCAGATATACACCCAGACAACAGAAGCTCTGCGGTTCGAATTTCAAGCAAGATCTCTTTTTCATCATTCTGAAGACTTATATGTTTCCGTACCCTGGAACTCGTTGTGACTCAAATTTGGTGCTTACACATATGTCTGTCAGTTTTTATTGTATCGTAACAGATATTTAAAAAAAGGTCACCGTTGAAGCTACTATAAAGTCATACAGAAAACATCAATACAGATATAAATGGAAACAATTATCATAATAATACTACAAGAATATATCAATAGTGACTTTCAAAGTGAAAAGAACTAGTCCATGTCTTTCATACTTTATTTTACTGTGCCCTATCTAAATTATCCGAAGTATAATTGCTTCAGATTGCGTCTAGCTTCGCATAGTATTATTTAGTGGCATTTACACAAACCAAACCTTGCCTCAGAAAAAAAAGACTAGAAGAAACTACTTGCATTTTTCACAAGCTTGAAAATACGACGAAAAACAGGAATATTTTCGAAAATTCATGAAAACTAACATTCATGTACACTCACAAAGTACATCTTTCACAGCTGAATAAAAATCTTTGCTGTGTTTGCTCATATGGTTCGACACTACGAAAAATCAAAGAGATATCGAGCGAAAGCTAGGGAATTATTTATGCTTGTGTATCGTCATTTTCTAGCGCTAGAGTGTGTTATATGGGCATAAGAAAATCGAACTGCTTTTCGCTTATGATTGTTGAGCGAGTTCGAAGAATACACAACGAAATTTCAGAGCTAGAGGCCTCTCAAAACATCGTCCTTTTGTCAGTCATGTATGTTCATTTTCTTTTTATGAAGAATCTATTACAATTTTTATCTTCATCGTGGCATTTAGACACTGGTATATTAAGAGCCATAGGTTTTTTCCAACACGTGCAGGCTTAAATCTTGTGGATATCACAAAAACAGCTATCATGCAATTAAAACTATTTACTATGAAGGTAATATCGTAAGGATATCCTTCTCGAAAATCCGGTTCCAGAGAATCCTTCCATTCAAATATCCTTGAGCACTTTTTTCTGTACAACATCATACATAATTTCTAGATAGGCCAAACTTCTTCGAATGCTAAAAGAATACAATTCTAAACAGTGGTTTTCTACGTTGAAACTGACAAAACTTAATGACAACTTTTATTAAGGGCGTTAGCTGAGAAGAATGGCATCCTAATACTTAATGACTGCTATTCATTTCATACAGAATTTCCCAAGATTTTTATTGATAGGGAACAAATTACTGTGATTCAAAAGCAATCCTACATAAGCTTACTAGGTAACATGTCCGAGTGATCCGCTCTGTTTAAATTCATATTGTGCGCATATGTAGGAAATCATTACAATAGAATAATCGCCAATGGGTTCATGCTCTCGTTGAGATTTGGTCGAAATTTCTACTCTTTAGTAGATTTTTTCTAATTGGTGTCAAGTTTTGAGTAAAATCGTATTTCGAATTTTGATATAAAACTTTTTCAACATGAAGGCCCTACTATAAATAACTCGTATTCAAAGTTTTATCGTTTTTAGACATTCCATCCTTGAAATATACGTTTTTCAAAAAAAAAAGGTAAAGTTCTATGGATATATACAATCTATAGTTTTGATATATTGAAAGATTTATTTGCCAGTGACCTAATGTTCAAGAATGATGAAACTTAATGTAGGGAACGTTAGCAAGATGCTCTATCAAATGATCATAACCAGTTGATAATTTGTCAAACGATTCGTTGTGAAATCGAAAGAAATGGATTTTACCCGATGAAACATGTAGAACCCATGTAGGAGTTCCAGCTCTGATTGAACCAGCAACTGCTCCAGGTTTTCTCGCTTGTGACTTAAGATTAATTGTACCTGATTTTTTTAGTATAACCTAGAAAAAGACATGGGCTAAGCCGTGAGCGAATGACGGCTGGGAGTACTGTCGAAGTTCCCTATAGACTGAACGGAGGACACATGATTGTGTGATTTAAAAGTAACGGTAGGAGATAATATAAATCTGATTCTCACCGTTTGATAGAGCATGCCAAGTGCTACGTGGAACACAAATGACAACATCTGAAACACTCCCTGAGCGAATATAGACACTGAAAAATAAGAGATTTGCGGAACTTTGCAGGCCTCTAACAGGTTCTGAGTTTTAGCTTATTAAAAACCTCCTGAAAAGGGCTCCCTGTAAGAAAATATAGTTCTAAATCTCTCGAGACAATTGTTTTTGCCTGTCTCGAACCATTTTTCAAAGTTTCTGCTACCGTGTAAAACAGAAAACTCTTAAGAAGTCCAAAGATTCTGTACACTTCCTTTATTTTCTGCAAAGCAGGAATCGCTTGCATCTGACACTAACTTCACGAATGTTAAAACTTGATATGAGCAAGTTATAGCAAGCCTTTAATACTGAGAAAGGTTAATATCGAAACTTGAGACATTATTTTACTTGAAAGCTGACTTCCTATAGAAAAAATTCACTAAAACTAGAAATTTCGTTCGAATTCCAGCTAGAGCACGAATTCTTGGATGATTTTTCTAATCTACCAGTTCGCCATGCATAGGTTTAATTTGAATGTAAAGGGAGCGTTATCTAGTTACTGGTATCCCTTAAGAATAGAAAAGTCTTCTGAACACTGATAGAGTAAAAGAACTTACGAGAGATACTGCAATATCAAAACGCTTACGTCTGCTTCTTATATTAATGTCATGAATATTGTAATGACGAATGTATTATGTTGGTAATATATCGGCGTTGTTTAATAAAGAAAATGAAAGCATTATTTTGCTTATGTACATATCGAAAAAATGTTTGGCTTGTGTGCATTCAATCGTATACGTAGGATAAAGCATGATCATATATCATTGAGGCACACTGGATTTTTTCTCGTGCAGATATTTTCATTTTTTTGGCTGTTCTATCACTTATCGATCAGACAGCTTCAATAACGAAGAAAGATAAAATTAATCGATGATGGGAAAAATGTGCATTATATCACGGCTTTATTTGTTTTTCTTCCTATTGTTACACGGAATAGGTAAAATATGCAGGCTTCACAAGCAATAGTATGCTGTTTTATACTGTTCATCCTGTTAAAACCGAGCAGTGTTGCAAACTCTTCTGCTGTTAGCAGAAAAATTCTGCTTTTTCAGATATTTTATCTATTATATTTTTCAACAGTATTTCTTTATTATGCCATATCAAGTTTTTGAATCATGTGAATGAAAATTCTTATTAACTTTTGTTGATGCTATTGTGTCATCTTTATTGTGTGACAAATTGAATTCTTATTTTTCACTGGCTGAAAAATGCTGCCAACCTATATCCAACATTCTTGCTCCGCTCTTTACCTATCTCTTTCTTTCTATTATACATTCAACTTATCTTTTAATTCGTAAATGTTACTATATAATATAAATCATTTGTTTGTTTATTGGAATAAGTCTATATAATGAGTATTTTTACAGAAGTAGAGAAAATGAATGAAGGTGATGATGATATTAGTGTTGATAAAAACGAAGACTCTGCTGCATTACCATCACCTGAAGCATTAGAAACTTCATCCTTCTTAGATAAACCAAGTAAAAAGAAGTTAAAGAAAGGTGTTTTTAATAAAGCATGGTTGAATTTGGTCGAATATAAATCGTTTTTAAACGAATATAAACCTGATTCGTCTCAAGCAACATGTATCATTTGTAATCAACAATTTTCGGTGCATTATCGTGGTAAAGCTCTGATATTGGCAATCATACTAAGACCAACAATCACCAACATCATATGAAGTCTTATGATGTTAATCAACAATTAATAACTAAAACAATAATGATATCGAAAGAAAAAGATGAAGTTGCTGCTGCTGAAGGTGTTTTAGATTATCGCGGCGCTAAACATGGTCATTCATACTTGGCACAGCAGTGTACTACCAATGTTTGTAAAGCAATATTTTCATCCTCATCAATAGCAAACAACTTAGCATGTGCTCGAGCCAAATCAGCATTTATTGCTCTAAATGTTCTAGCACCATTTTTTACTTATACTTTACTTGATGATTTAAAACAATCATTTTATTATTCTGTAATGCATGATGCAAATAACAAAGGAAATATCAAAATGTTTCCATTTTGCGTTCAGTTTTTATTAATAACTGGTGTAAAAAAAGGTATATTTCTCTGCTACTTTCATTTGTTTCTCATTCACATCTTCTTATCGTTGTAAGTCTTGTAGACTTAATAGATGATGCTGAAGACACAGCATTCAAAAATTTTTCAAATGCACGTAAAGTAATTATGGATAATGATTTAGATATTAACAGATTAATAGGATTAGGTTCTGATAATACAAATGTAAACGTTGGTGAAAAACATTCTGTTTTTACTTTGTTTAGTGATGAACTACCTTGTACAATAAAAGGTAAGAGACATGATTATTTCAATAAATCAGGATATTTGTTATTTGTCATCTTGTTTTCTTTATATTAAGAAGGATTGATAATTAGCATTTATGTATACCTGAAACGGAGCACATTTTAAAATCTATTCTGAAAAAAGTTTTTCAATACGACACAGATCGCCTAGTTATTTATCAAAAATATAAACATCTTTTTTTTTTCAAAAATAGTGCCGAAATTATTTTTATCTTTTACACTGGTAGGAAATTGTTACTGTCATATACTCCACAATGCCGTTAAACATGCTAATAATTCATTATCCATTGATATAGAACAAATATTACTTATGATATATGCGCATTTTTCTTGTTCTGCAGAACGTATTCATGATTTAAAGCAGTACTATGAATTTTATGAACAAGACTTCAAGGTAAAGGGGGTGGGTGTGGGCGGGTGTGGAGGGGTGAGGGNAAGAGGATTTGCATGAAATTTGACCGTTAACTTCAACAGGAATATGGTTTTGAATCTCGTCAAATAAAGAACTTTTTACCTCACCATATCTCGCTCGAAAGAGAGTAAAACGAGGAGAAAAAAATCGATATCACATTTCATCGTAGAACACTTTATTTGACGAGATTTGAAACCATATTCCTGTTGAAGTTAACGGTCAAATTTCATGCAAATCCTCTTAGCGAAATAACGGTATGTTACTCATGAGAATAAAAACATTATCGATATCAAATAGAAAAATTTTATAGAGAAAGCAATTCTCTGCAAATTTGCAATGTTAAAAAAATTTTTTATGCCATCTTCGATGCTCAAATGAGAAAATAGAAGGAGCACTATATATGATTGGTGCACATAAAAATCTACCAAGTCAACTTTCTCAGATAGAATCACTGTGAAAACAGCATCTCTGGTGTAGTTTGTAACACTTTCTAGTGGTGCATTGAAAATTTATATTGACTGAGAATTAGAGGAAAAAATTACATTTGGTCAAAAACTTTCGATATGCTTTAAAAATCACTCTTATTCGATTTTTTCTGGAAAGAAACTGCAATAAAACGTAGTCTGCTATGTAGAGCACCATGTAATCTCTAGAATGGTGTGTCAAAAAGAAAATTTTACCTTAAAACGAGCACTCACTGAATTATGAACAACAAGTGGTTGATGAATTTTGGAACAATGAAAAAAGGCATTTCGTGATTATGTTACTAACAAAAGCTGAATACACCAATAGATTGACTTCAAATTTTGTATACGTAGACTACAAACTATGAATCAGTATGTGACAAAAACCAGACAGTTCTAGTTGACTTAGGTTCTGAGGCATCAGCAAAACAAAAAAATTCATCAAAGTGGTTGATCAATTTTGCTACACTGTAAAAAAAAAAAAGCTACTTTCTGGAACCTCAAAAAAAGGTTCGGTAGATGACAAAAAGTTTGCAAATGTGTTGAAACTTTCAAAAAACGAATAAAAAAAACCCGGAACCTTTAAAGGATCTTACCGTGTACCCAAGTGAAGATTATTTTTTCTTCGAAACCTTTTTAAGTTCCGTACACCAAAAAAAAGGTTTTGTAGGAAAGTACGAAACCTTTAGGGTTTCATATTGAACCTCGAGGTTTCGTACTGGGTTTCCTATAAAACTATTATACTAGATGCGAAACTTTAAAGGTTTCGTACTTTCCTACAAGACCTTTTTTTTGGTGTACGGAACTTAAAAAGGTTTCGAAGAAAAAAGGATCTTCACTTGGGTACACGGTAAGATCCTTTAAAGGTTTCGGGTTTTTTTCATTCGTTTTTTGAAACTTTCAACACATTTGCAAACTTTTTGTCATCTACCGAACCTTTTTTTGAGGTTCCAGAAAGTACCCTTTTTTTTACAGTGTATCATGGGTAGAAGGTTAAATAAATATCGCAGATATAATCAATTTGTAAAACAGACTTGTTTGCCAATTAATTCAATGAGTATAATAAAAAATATATAAAATTAAGACGAACAAAAATTGTGAAAAACGAAAAATACCGAACGAATAGCAACAACGAAAACGAAAAATAAGGGCGCCTCTCAGAAAATTAAAAAATTTAGAAACTCTTGATTTTATACTTTCTATATTTCATATTAGTATAATGGAGTTGAACAACATACGTGAGTTCCACATTTCAGCCCCAAAGGGGCTGCGCTGACAAGCTTTTTCTTTGTTACTCTGTTGCATGTTATTATGTTGTCGTGAACAGATGAAACTGTTCATTACTAGGGGTTGGAGGTGTTGGATAATGATGCTATTTATAAGCTACTATCTTCTCCTTCTTATTGGTTTCGTATTCATTTTATATATATTGTTATGCTCAAAGACGAGAATGAAGATCTATCTAGAAAGAGTTAGTCTTGATCAACAGACTAACGGGGCGTCCGAAGAATACATAACAGAATTTCAGAGTTAGAAGTATCTCTATAAAATCGTTCTTTTTCAGACCTTTGTGTTCATTTGGTTTTTGTGAAGAATCTTTTGCAAATTTTATCTCCATCGTAGGATTTAGACACTGATGTACTAGGAGGAATAGGTTTTTCAAAACCTAACGAAATGAATCTTGTGAATATCACAAAAACAGGTAGCATGTAACGAAAACTGTTTACTATAAAAGCAATATCCTGAGCATATCCTTCTCCAAAACTATGTTGAAGAGAAGCCTTCCATTCAAATTTCCTTAAGCACTTTCTCTCCATAGTAGCATACACAAGTTCTAGTTAGTCAAATTCTTCGATTGCTGAAATAATACAAATCCGAATAGTATTTTTCTACGTTGGAACTTACTAAATGTATTGAAAACGTTTATTACGGACGATAGCTGGACAGAGTGGCACCAAAATACTTAATAGGTGCTATTCATCTCATGCAGAACTTTCGAAGATTTTCGTTGGTAGCAAAAAATTATTATGATACAATAACAATGCTTTATTAGCTTACGGGGTAACATTTATGAACAGTCTGCTCCGTTTCGATTTACATTATGCCTATATGTACGGAATCATTACAATAGAATAATCATTAATGGGTTCATGCCCTTGTTGAGATTTGGCCGAAATTTCTAGGTCTATAGCGGTTTTTTTTCATTTGGTGTTAGGTTTGAGTAAAATCCTATTTAAACTTTTGACGTAAATCTTTGTTAACATGAAGGCCTTGCTATAACTCATATACACAGCTTTATCATTGTTAGACATTTCATCTTTGAAATACAAATTTTTCAAGAACAAGTACTGTTCTGTGGATATATACAGTCTATACCATTGATATTTTGAAAGACTCCTTTGTTAGTGACCAAATGTTCAAGAAAGATGAAACCTAATGTAGGCGACGTTAACAATGTGCTCTATTGAATCATTATAATCCATTGAAGGTGTCTCAAACCATTCGTACTGAAGCCGAAAGAAACCGATTTTACTCCATCGAACATGTAGAATCCAGCTAATAGTTCCTGCTCTGTCTGAATCAGGAACTGGTCCAGGGTTTCTCGCTTGTCTTTCAAGAATAATTGCACATACTCTTTTTGATAACCTCGAGAAGAAGACATAGAACAAATCGTGAGCAAATGATTGCTCGGAGTACTTCTTAAGTTCTCTATTGCCTGGAGGAAGAAAATATTGTTTTGCGATTTGAAAGTAACGGTAGAAGATAACATAAATCTGATTCTGACAATTTTATAGAGCATATCAAGTACTGTGCAAAATTTAAACGAGACCATCTGAAACGCTTTCCGAGCGAATACGGGCACTCTAAAAATTGGAGATTTGTAAAATCTTTTAGGCCTCTAACAGGTTCTGAGTATTACCTTTCAGTAAAGCCCCTGTAAATAGATCTGTTCAAGAATAAACATAGTTCTAAATCCCTTAGCAAAAGAGTTTTCGCTTTATCCAAACCGTTTTTCAGGGTTTCAGCTACCAGATAAAATGTGGAATTCTTAAAAAGTCTGAAGAGTCTGTACACCTCCTTTATTTTCTTCAGAGCAGAAGTTGCTTGCATCTGATACTGACTTCACTTATGTTGAAACTACATATATGAGCGAGTTATAACAAGGCTTTCATGTTGACGAAAGTTTAGATCAAAATTTGACATGATTTTACTAGGACACTAAATTCCTATAGGGAAAAACTTCTAAAGTCAGAAGTTTCGTGCGAACTTCAACAAGAACATGAATTTTTTAATGATTACTCTTATCTAAGAATACCCTATGTACGGGTAAAGTATAAATGTAAAGAGAGCATTTCGTCGTTAGTGGTATTACTTAAGGAGAGAAAAATCTTGTGAATACTGATAGAGTAAAAGGACTTTAGAAAGATACTGCAATTTCAAAAGGCTTACGTTTGCTTCTTGTATTGATGCGATAAATTTCGTGATGACGAGTATAATATGTTAGTAATATATTGGCATTGTCTAATAAAAAAAATGAAAGCATTATGTTGCTTATATACATTTCAAAAAAATGTTCGGCTTGCGTGCATTCAACTGTATACGTGGGATAAAGCATGATCATAAGCTATTGAGACACACTTGGTTTTTTCCAACAATCATGTTATCATTCCTTTGCTTGTTCTATCACTTTTTATTCGGACAGCTTCAATAAGGAAGAGAGATAAAATTAGTCAACGGTTGGAAAAATGTGCATTATATCACGACTTTGTTTTTATTTTTCTTCCTATCGTTGCAAAGGATAAGTAAAGTATACAGGCTTCACAAGCAGTAGTAGGTCACTTTACATCATTGATTCTGTTAAAACCGAGCTCAACGATCCCTTCTGCCTACGACACAAGATATTGGTTTCGGCTGCTACTTTTGGAAGCTTTTCTTGTCCATACATATGTTCCTCGTCAAAGATCGTGTTAGTGACATAAGATGTCGCTCTATGTCACTAACTTCTTTTCATTGTAGCGATTTTTTCTTTTGTTGATTTGTCTATCTGAATTGTCCAGTTGATTGATCATCATGAGATACTGATGACCTTTTCACGTTTTTTTGACCTACTTTTCCC